CATCAGGGTTTAGAAACTCGTACCTGAATATGCATCAGGGTTTAGAAACTCAACCTGAATATGCATCAGGGTTTAGAAACTTACACCTGAATATGCATTAGGGTTTATAAACCCACACCTGAATATGCATCAGGGTTTATAAACCCACATCTGAATATGCATCAGGGTTTATAAACTCATACCTGAATATGCATCAGGGTTTATAAACCCACACCTGAATATGCAACAGGGTTTATAAACTCATACCTGAATATGCATCAGGGTTAATAAACCCACACCTGAATATGCATCTGGGTTTATAAACTCATACCTGAATATGCATCTGGGTTTAGAAACTCATACCTGAATATGCATCTGGGTTTAGAAACTCGTACCTGAATATGCATCAGGGTTTAGAAACTCATACCTGAATATGCATCAGGGTTTATAAACTCGTACCTGAATATGCATCAGGGTTTATAAACTCACACCTGAATATGCATCAGGGTGTTTAAACTCATACCTAAAGATGCAATATGGTTTATGAACTCGCACCCGAATATGCATCAGGGTTAATAAACCCACACCTGAATATGCATCAGGGTTTATAAACTCATACCTGAATATGCATCAGTGTTTATAAACTCATACCTGAATATGCATCAGGGTTTATAAACTTGTACCTGAATATGCATCAGGGTTTATAAACCCACACCTGAATATGCATCAGGGTTTATAAACTCATACCTGAATATGCAACAGGGTTTATAAACTTGTACCTGAATATGCATCAGGGTTTATAAACCCACACCTGAATATGCATCAGGGTTTATAAACCAACATCTGAATATGCATCAGGGTTTATAAACCCACATCTGAATATGCATCAGGGTTTATAAACTCGCACCTGAATATGCATCATGGTTTATAAACCCACACCTGAATATGCATCAGGGTTAATAAACCCACATCTGAATATGCATCATGGTTTATAAACCCACACCTGAATATGCATCAGGGTGTTATAAGCTCGCACCTGAATATGCATCAGGGTTTATAAACCCATACCTGAATATGCATCATGGTTTATAAACTCACTCTTGAATATGCATCAGGGTTTTATAAGCTCGCACCTGAATATGCATCAGGGTTTATAAACCCATACCTGAATATGCATCTGGGTTTATAAACTCATACCTGAATAAGCATCAGGGTTTATAAACTCATACCTGAATATGCATCAGGGTTTATAAACTCACACCTGAATATGCATCAGGGTTTATATAAACTCATACCTGAATATGCATCAGGGTTTATAAACCCATACCTGAATATGCATCAGGGTTTATAAACTCCCACCTGAATATGCATCAGGGTTTATAAACTCACACCTAAATGTGCATCAGGGTTTTTAAACTCATACCTAAAGATGCAATATGGTTTATGAACTCGCACCCAAATATGCTTCAGG